TTTATTTTCATAAGTGTTAAAGGGTATTTTAGACATTTGACAGATCTTGTTTGTAGACTTCCCAAAACTATCCTTAAATAATGTTTCAATTTAAATGAGACAAAAGGAAAATGTAAGTATACATAGCCTCAGTTAATTCTTATGTCATATAGTGTTGATGCCCCCAAAGCAAACTCATTCTAGTATATAACAAAACAAATAAGTCCAAAACAAAGCTGCTTCAAGGAAAAAGCTCACAATTTTACCATTATACCCTTCTTGTGTAGATAAGTTAACTATATATCTAGGATAGTTTGCCATTAAAATGCTTACAACCATTCTAGGTAAAGTTTCTAGGAAAAAAGTAATCAAAACTTTCTATAACAACTCAAGACTAATCAAATATAACATTTTATGTCTCAGAACTTGAAGACATTTATTGCAAGATGTTCTCATTAATGCTACAAAGAGATAGAAAACATGGTTCACAAAGCTGATTTAGTGATCATTGGAAGAGATGCTACAAAGAGCATCCATTTCTACTTGCTCTACTTCATAATGGGTTGAATGGATGCTACAAAGACATACTTCCAGTTTTGAAAGTAGGATGCTATATAATAATAAACAAGAAAATGGAAGTACGCTGTTTTTTTGCATTTAGTGTTGTTTAAAAATAACCCTAAAAAAGTCCAGTCTAGTCCTGTTTAATCCATGTAACAAACAAAACTTTTTATTAAGTGAAAATTTTGCAGTTTTGACATGATTATTTATGATTTGAATTGAAACAGATATGTGGTCATCACAACCAGGCAGACTTTGCAGTGAGAGGCAAAGAACCTAAAGATGAAGTCCAAATCCATACATGGATGGATGATACACTTCGTGAGCTCACTGATCTGGTACATTACTACATACAATGGAATGGAATCACACAAGGAGTGGAAAGGAATTGGAAATTGATTTTTTGTTTTCAGGTAAAGGATTACAAATTGCTTAATTGGATTACAAAATTATGTTATCGACTGCTTAACCATTACATAAAATGTGAATCATCTTAATCATGTAATAGAAAAAATAAGTTGGGGAAGAGGGAAAGTGAGACTAGGGCACGAGTGTTCTTTTTTTATTTATTTTTTATTTATTTTATTTTTTTCGGATCAGATAGCATATTTACGAAATTGCCCCAACTATTTAAAAAATAAAAAAAAATCGAAATTGACTAATGGATTTCCGACAGAATTTCGAATTTGTTGATTTCCTTCGGTAAACTGTCAGTATACCTTAACGGATTACCGACCAATTCCATTCTGTCGCAAAAACATCGCTAATATCCTAATAATCCGTCTGTTGGAAATCAGATTCAATGGTAAGCTCCACCAGCAACTTCGACGATGGTGGCGACGGCAAGAGAGTGAGGCGATGCTGGTTGTCGTTGGTGGGTTGCAGGTCGGACGGGCAGTGGGAGGGAGAAGCATGTTGCGTCGCTAATATCCTAATAATCCGTCTGTTGGAAATCGGATTCAATGGTAAGATCCATCATCTACAACAGCAACTTCGACGATGGTGGCGACGACAAGAGAGTGAGGTGATGCTGGTTGTTGTTGGTGGGTTGCAGGTTGGACGGGCAGTGGGAGGGAGAAGTATGTTGCGTCGATGAATTTGGAGGAGCTGTGTGTGTGTGTGTGGGGGGGGGGGGGGGGAGGAAAGAGAAGAGGGAAAGTGAGACTAAGGCACGGGTGTTTTTTTTTTTCTAGATCAGATAGCATATTTACTAAATCGCCCCAACTATTTAAAAAATTAAAAAAAAAATCGAATTTGACTAATGGATTTCCGACGGAATTTCAAATTTGTTGATTTCCGTCGGTAAACCGTCAGTACTGTAACGGATTACCGACCAATTCCATTTTGTCGCAAAAACGTCGCTAATATCCTAATAATCCGTCGGAAATCCATTGTTTTTTCCGACAGATTTTTTCCGTCGCTAAAATTATGTTGCTATTGCTCTGTTTTCTAGTAGTGAAGATACCTAGGGATGAGCGTGGGACGAAACCGGTACCGACCCGTACCGTTCCCGATTTCCCGAAAACCAAATTTTATCGAAAGTTAATCCCGAGTACCGAACCGCATTAACATTACTGGTACCGGTATCGGGAATGATATCGGTTTTCGGTACTAGTATCGGTACCGGCGGTACCGAATCCAGAATTTCATGTATTCGGAGTACCAAGTACCATCCCATATGTTCAAATTCGGTACGGATCGGTACCGGTACGGGATCGGGATTTGGGACAAACTGCTCATCCCTAAATATACCTAAATAAATCATCTTTGTAGCATTTATCAAAAAATAATCATCTAAACTAGGATGACATTCAATCACCGGTGTACTTTTGGATAAAACATAAGGGTCGATGAATACTATTAGGTGGTGTGATTGGGGCATTTCTCCTTTTTTTATTGTAATTCTGTCAAACTCTACATGTTTCACTGCTTTCTTTTGTTGTTGGGCTTCATCTAGTTTCTTGCTAAGTGTTGACCCTTAATAATATCTTTAGTCGTTTCCAAAAAAAAAAACGCCTCTGAAAAAGTGAGAATTATGTACCCCAATTAATTGGCTCGATAAAGTCTAGAAACATATTATTCTTTGCGGGCTTCCTTTACATCTAATTCATCTTGAAGTGAGATTTGCTAAGGTCTCACTAACACATTTTTATTTATTTACTAGACGAATACTCGCACATTGCGTAAAATTCAAAAATATTTTTGAAATCTTTACAAATATATGTTTTTTAAATATATCAATGATATTGTTTTTAGCTCTTATATAATAAATCTTATAATAAGTTTGTATAAACATTATTTGTTTTGAATTTTATTATAATGTAGACATCTTTTAAAATTCTATAATCTCAATTGTCTCAATGGCCACTATTTGTAGGTTACTCATGAATAAAATTAAATATAATATATGGTTTAACGATATTTATAGTTGTTTTTATGATTAATTAATTTTAAAAAGTTTATTTTCTTAATATTTTAATTTCTATCATTGTAATTATTTAAAACATCAAACATTGTTTTTGTTTTTAAAGTAACAATATAATTTTTGTATATAATGTTATTTTTAACTATTGTTGATTTAAGTTATTTAAAATAACCTATTTGGAAACTCTTGATTATTTTAATATGGTTTCAAAAATTTAACTTTTTTAATATTTATTTAATGAATATTGTTAGTTTCTTTGATTGTATTTATATAAAACAACACACATTGTTTTTGTTTTTAAAGATAACATTATAACTTTAACATAATATTACTTTTAACTGTTCTTATTGTAAGTTGTTTTTAAGATACTTATTTGAAATTTTTAATGATTATAATAAAAAGTTTCATCATTTTTCTTTTGTTAATTTAGGATTACAATTTAAGTTTAACACTATAATTTATAATTGTTAACAATTTATAAAATAGTCTCTCGGTTTTTTTCAAGTTTAACTAAATTTTTGATTTAAGTTAACCGTTTAACATTATACTGAAACTAATAATTTAACTATTTTGCATAAAATCATAAATTATACAAAAGTTGTGATTTTAAAATGACATTTGCTCACATACGACAACATATTTAAACTAATAAGTTAAGTTTAATATGTTAAAAAATTAAAGTCATAATTTGATAAATAAAAGTAAAATATGATAATTTAATATTGTAGTTTAGTTAATTTATATTAGAATTTTGTTTTTACATTATTTTAACATTATTAACCAATTTGCAATAATTATTAGAAAGAAATTGAAAAGTCATGCTGGTTTCAAATGCATGTGGTGCAAGTAAAAATGCATCTTTTATAAGTATATACTAGGCGAATACACACGTGTAGCGCAGAATAAACAATATATTTGAAATCTTTATAAATGTATGTTTTTTTAAATATATCAATGACGTTGTTGTTAACTCTTATATAATAAATCTTATAATAAGTTGACATAAACATTGTTTGTTTTGATTTGTATGATAATGTAGATATCTTTTAAAATTCTATAATCTTAATTCTCTCAATCATCTCTATATGAATAAAATTAAATATAATATATGGTTTAATGATATTTACAATTGTTGTTATGATTAATTAATATTAAAAAGTTTATTTTCTTACGATTTTAATTCCTATCATTATAATTATTTAAAAGATCAAACATATATGGCTGCCTCTAATGGCTCACACCTAAAACCCTATAAACCCTACGAAACGAATTGAAGAGAGAGGAGGGAGGAGAAATGTTGGTAGATCTATATAATAACTTCTGTTTTAGTTGCTTCACGTAGCTGAGAAATGTTGGTACCAGATTCATTCATGGAGTGAAACATCAAAGCCACGCACTTAATCACATCCTCTAAAGTTCATGATGGACTGATTACTGATATACTTAGCATGCTCTTCGATGGAAGGTATTTACAATGTCAGACCTGTTGTATAAACTTATAAAATAGACTTTAAATGAGAGACAATTATAATTGAAGAACAAGGCCAGCACATGCCAATAAGGCTATAAATTTGATGCCAATTAAGACGATGTAGTTTTTAATGAGACTATGACAATGATTTTCAACAACGGCTCTACCGATGCTCATGATTTAGAGTTGAAAACTTGCAATTCAAAATGGATAATTATACATGGTTGTAGAGAGTTTCACGTAGATAAGAATTAGTAATTACAAATAACCACAATTTGTAGTTGCAAGCTTGTAATTCACAATGGATAACCAGTATGACATACACATGTGTTTGTAGAGAATTTTGAGGATTGAATAGATATCATTAACTGCAAAACATGCCAAATTGCTACACAAAATGCATTCGGCACAAATAGACATCAAATTGCATGATCAGGATGAGATTTAAATGATAGCAAATGACTTGTTCTTAAATCTTAACATCTAGAAAACGTTGGTTATTTGGGAACTTTATAGTTCCATAATTAAATAAAGCAAAAGATAAGAGTGGTAATTAAGAAGTCATCACTCATCTAAGAGATTAACATTGGAACAATCATGGGGGAAGTACCACATCCCTTCGTAACAGAACACTCCTTGTCGACTTTCATCGGTGGCAGAAAAGTAATCATAGCTCGTGTAACATTGTGTCTGTGGGCCAGCCCATGACTTTGGTTTAATAGCAGCAGAAGACTTCAACCGGCTAACAAAAACTGCATATTCTCCAATTGTCTTTTCTGGTGACACCCACTTCATTTCGCTAAAATCTAGTTCATGTATCGCATGCCCAGATATCACATAAAGGTTTTCAGCTGAACTTACAAGCAGAGGTGGAAAACTTAAGTCAAAAAAGTTTCGCTTGGGAAAATTCTTGGTTTTGACTAACGTACATTTTCCCTTCTGCTTTGACTTCAGATGGAGTCTGAGTTCACCTAAACAATAATCCGTGTCTAAGGTATATATCTTCCCCTTGAAAATATGTAAATCAAGGATGGGGAGAGTGGAGGAGACATGATTCCATCCTTGTTTACCTGATATATGAAACGATCTATTTTCATTACCCACTCCATAAGTCAATATGTTTCTATTTAACACAACAAACACCCACTCAGATGTTGAACGTGAAAAGACAAGGATGCCTCTGAAATTTTCGTCATCAACACCTACATATGTGGGCCAATGAGGGAAATAAAGTTTATGCTTTGTGATAGGATTCACAAGCAAGAAGTCTTGGGTTTTCTTCCTTCCGAACAAGATCAGGTAACCACATGTACATCCAAGTACACATCTTCTCCAAGTAGAATGGGGAAGGATGGTTTTAAAGGTTCTTCCACCAAAGTCCTCTAGGTGGCACCAGTAATCCTCATTAGCCTCCATAGAAAAATATATCTCCATGGGTGGTTTGGACGCCATAAAAATGTTCATGTTAGAGACTGCAAATGAACTCCATGACTTGCAAACTCCCTTGAATGCAAAGAAATCAACAACTCCCAGTTGCATCATAACTAAAAAAAGCACATCATGGTTAACATCTGACCAAGATGCCACACCATCATGGTCAAAATTCTTCAACGTCTTACTGCTAGATGATGATGCATCATCATCATGATTCTGATTTCCAGTCATACTCCTTGCCTTGGTTATTCCTACACCTGAGAAAGGAAAAGAAATACCACACAAGATGCAATAGTTGTAAACAGAGCACACATACCCTTCTCAAAACATTGTAAGAAAAAAAAAACGTGCACACAAAAATCAGCAGATATATACGTACATCAAGTCCATGAAATTTTTTGGAAAAACATTTTTGAAACTAAATACATAATTTGGAGGCAACTAATGGGGACTCCTCGAAGAAGATTGTCAATGCAAAGGACTTACGGATTATAGATTATATTATTGTTGACTCTTGCCTGGGATGAGGTAAACTGAAGATCAAGATATGTAGTGTGGTTCTTGTAATTTGTAATTTGTAAATACTTTCATCGTAATCAGGGCATTTGTATATAGTTAGACATATAATTGTTCCTTAAGGATTTTTTCTTGAAACGCCTAGTAAATTGCATGTTTCTTAAAACATGAAATATACTTTTATCAAAAAGAGATTTCAACAACGCATTTCATCAAGCAGTACTTCACATGCATGTAAAGTACAAATATGTTGAAAAGACGACTCAGATGCCGGTAAACTAAAAAGGAGTTGGATTCAACGAATACGAAATTGAAGAGAAAGAAGCTCACACATACCTGTTACTTAAAATTGCATGCTATATGCGATGAACTTTTCGATCGATTGTAAACGACAATTCTTCAGGAATGAGGCTGCTAAGGTTAATTGGGAAGAGTGTCACGATTTCACGATGACTTTATTCGGGGTATGTAAAGAGTTTCACGATTTAGTACTAGGGTTTGATATTTATGGGCTTATACAATATTAATGTGCTTTAAAAAAAAATCTCCATTAACTTATTTTTGATATGGTCATGCGAATTTATTGTATTTTCTGTATGCATGGTTCTCCTCAATGCAAAATGACTTTTTTTTTTTTTTTTTTTTTACTCTTTTTAATATATATTTTTATTTATTAATTTACAATTTATATTAATATTTAATTAGAAGGACCACACCCTGCCCTTCATCTCTTTTCTTTGCCGCCTTCTACCATTACCACTACCATCCACGTCATCCTTCACCACCGTAACCAACACCATCACCCCCCACCACCGTCCACCACTACTTATTTCATGAAGGAAAAGGAAAATTATATGTAGTACCTCCACATCACTGGTTTGTCACGATCTGTGACTTTGAACCTTCTTTCACCTCAGTAACTTGAACCTTCTTTCCCCTGTATGTGAAAATCAAAGCAAAAGTAAGTAAACAAAAACACAGTAACAAGTATTAATATACAATAAAACCTAGCTAAACGGACAAATACAATAACGAGAGGTTTGTGGAGTTTAAAGCCTAAAAACTTCATATATGAGCAAAAATCTTCTAACTAATTCAAAATTAAGTAAAGTGGAATAGAAGGTGTCAAACATTGAGACTTTGTTGGTAGTTATATTGCAGTTGCATACCTCTAGGAGTCTAGGGGAAGATGTTGAACTAATTGTTAGATAGTAGAATGAAAGCATTGCAATTTTTGTTGTGTAAGTATTAGTAAAGGGTACAATACGAGGCTCATGGTGTCCTTCGGTAGAATTGAGAGATGAATACGAGTATAGATTCTGAAACACCCGTCGCATGGGCCCATTTGAAATAGTCTTTAATAAAATCTTTTAAGTTATTTCAGAGTTTAAGTTTGCGGAAAACGGTCGCAAAGGTTAAATTTTTTTTTTCAAACTTCATATGCAGACAATGGTCCCAAAACATAAGTTCCAAAAACAGTTAGATTTGGAAAATCAAAACATATGAGAGAGTCTCAACAGATATCAAAAACCAAGGCTTAAGAAGTCTCTACAAACCAAGAGACTTCTAAATATCCAAGCTTATAAGCCTTCTAAGCTTCTGAAAATCATTAACCTACAAAATATTATCAACAAGTGGGTTAGGTTACGAGAAACCTAGTGATTACAATCTTAAGGTTTTAACATTTTGTAACCGGAATATAATTGAACACTTAAATCATATCTAATTGTAAAAACTATACCTTATCCAAATCAAAAAATAGAAATAGAGTTCAAACTTAGAGATAAATATATAACACAATCCAAAGTACATTACCATACTTGTAAAAAATCATAAATCTTCACTAGTAATCATATACAATGTAAAGTAGTTACATCGGAACAAGGCATTTATCAATAATTAAAATGTAGTCAAGTAGAACAATAAGTACTTATAAAATTTCAAATTTTCGGATTTGATAACCCGATAACAAAATTCAATTTGCAAAATATAAGCTTTTTTCAAAAAATAAATTCATATAACTACAATGTAATACATGCAACTATCCCAACCCGAGTCAATCTCATTAAGTCCAATCTCACACAAAAATGGCGGTGGATACATGAGGGAACTCCCTTCAAGTTGCTAGAGAAAGGAGACTCCCATCTCTATAAATCTCTAGGAAAAGGGTACTCTCCTTTTCATTGCAATATTAATTGGGACTCCCACCATCGTTTTAGGAACTGTGTAACAATATCACTAGTCCTACACATGGGGTAGCGAACCCACAAGTGCACATGAGATTATCTAGAAATCTACTCACAACAACTCAACACGTAATGGATCCATGACAAGAACACACAAGTCTCACATCTTTGATCCTAATGGCACTGCCTTTACAGATTTTCATGATGGATGTTGTTTTCCTATAACCTTTACTATAAGATTGTTGTATGTGACTTCAATGGTTTGGCTTCCCGTCCTAGCTCTATATGAGAACCGTACTTTCACCATCTCCTTGTTACCTATAATCTCTTATGTAACATGGAAGAATAATGCTTGTAGAAGGACAGATTGAGTAGGAGGCTACATATGAAGTGACTTCTATGAGCGTCTCAAGACGATTAGAGCAGGTACTGCAGAGTTTTCAGGCTGATTGATGATTAATGTCACATCAACAAGTATTCCTTTCTATAGACCACTAGGTCAAAATAATGAGTAGTTTACACATGATGATTCAGGTCCTCACTTGCTAACTCACTAGGTACTCACCGGTGACAAAACCCTTGCTACAAAATCAGGTGATACATTGATACTTACAACTATATTCACCATAACGGAATTCAAGTATTCAGTATCAAACCTAAACCAGTGAACCACAGTTCGCTGCAACATCAACACAAAACAATGAGTTCAAGCATAGACTTGAAAAATGAACACACAAACTACATCAAGATCTATTCAAGATACTAGGCAATTCGCTATAAGACTATGGGGAGTGGGTGGCAAAGGCAACGATGAGGTGGACTTTAACATGTTGTGGGTACACTGACCCAACACCTCAACATGTTGTGAAAATCATCCCTTCTCATCATTGTATTGCCGAAGAGAGAGAAAATTGTATGCGCGTGCAGGCCCGACCCAGAAGGTGGGCTTGGGCCGCCCAGGACCTATTTCTCTAAGAGGCCCAAAATTCCTAAAGTATATAGTATATATATAGAGAGAGAAAAGTTATCTTATCTAAAAATACTAGGAGACTAATTTTTTTTCTTTAAATTATTTGTTTTTGTATGTTGTGTTCATATTTTTCTTTTTTAATATTAATAATGAATTTTGTGAATTTTATAACGGTGTCTATATTTTCAATTTAATTTTATTATATATATGACTTTGGGGGCTCATTTTTTTTCTTTTCACTTTGGGCTCACTATAGCTTTGGACCGGCCCGTGCACATGTATTAATCCCAATTTGTCCATTCTCTCTCTTCTTCATCTTTTTTCTCCATTGCCATGGCACCACTTCCTCTCTTTTCCTTGCCATGGTAAATCAAGATACATCTCATGTGAGCTTAGATGGAGCTTATGTGGAGCTTAGATGGTAAGGCTCTTATTAAAGACATCTATAACAAGGTACATATAAAGAAAATGCATACAACATTAATTGCACAAAAGCTCTTATTGAAGACATCTATAACAAGAGAAATATAAAGAAAATACACACATTAATTTCACAAAGATTTAACATACTCGTAATCAATATTTGATTTGATCTGCCTATACAAATACTCAATTACATCACAACATTGTGATATTGTTATTAAAATATTTTGGGATAAGTGAACGACAAGAAACATGACCAGTCATGAAAACAAACCGCCCAAAATTCCAGAATATCACTCGAGAAAAAACAGAAATTAACATTTTAAAATTTTGATCTTCTAAACTTTAATAGACGACATTCCCTAAAAATATATATAAGTGTCCTAAAATCTCATCAATCATCTAAGAGATTAACATTCAAACAATCATGGGGGAAGTACCACATCGTAGCATAAAATAGCATGCGTTGTTGACGTTCAGCAGTGCCATTGAAGTAATCATAGCTCTTGTATTGTGTCCGTTTAATAGCAGCAGAAGACTTCAACCGGCTATGAAAGAATACATATTCTCTTATTATCTTTTCTGGCTTCACCCATTTCATTTTGACAAAATCTAGTTCCATAACCTTGTTCAATGCTGAAATGCGACTTATCACATAAAGGTTTTCACCCGAACTTACAAGCTCCAGATGTAACAGATCCGGCTTCGGGAAATTGTTGATTTCTAGTAATGTCCATTTTTGCTCCTGATTCGGATCGAGTCTCAATTCAGCTAAAGAAAAATCAGACTGTAGGGTATATATCTTCCCCTTAAAAACATGTAAATCAACAATGGCGAGAGGCGAGTCAATGGGATGAGTGCAAGAGACATGATTCCATCCTCGTTTACCTGCTATACAAAATGATATTATCTTGATCAATCTATGTAAGATAACAAACACCCACCAAGACATTGAAGGTGAAAAGACAAGGATAGCCCTCATTTCTTCTTCATTAGCAATTGAAAAGAAGGGGTAATCAGGGAAATGAAGTTCATGCTTTGTGATAGGATTCACAAGCCAGAAGTTATGGGTTTCCCTTCCATACAAGATCAGGTAACCACAAGTTAAACCAAAACAGGTACTACCAGCAGAATGGGGAATGATTGTTTTGAACCTTCTTCCTTGGAAATCCTCCATGTAAAAATAGAAGTCTTTGTTATTATCATGGGGGTCGATACATGTCTTCATGGGTGGTTTAGATGCCATAAACATGTTCTTGTTAGATACTGCAAATGACCTCCAAGACTTGCAAACTCCACCGAATGCAAGAAAATCAACCATTCCTAGTTCCATCATAACTAAAAAAAGCACATCATGGTTAAGATTTGACCAAGGTGCCACACCACCCTTGTCAAAAGTCTTGAACCTCTTCCTGCTTGATGATGATGATGCATCATCATCATGATTATGGTTTCTAGTCATACTCCTTGTCTTAGCCATTCCTACACTTGCAAACTGAAATAATTAGTACCATAAAAGATACAAGAGTTGTAAACATGAGATAAATATCCACATACAAACAGCCGATTCGTTGCTCAAAAGAGAAAACACACACACACACAAGAATCATGAGTAGATAGCAGATTAATCATATATACGTTTAGATTTACAGGAGCCCATGATGTGGCTTAGTAACTGGGTGAGATCCTTGGTATGACAAAAGAGATACTAAAAAATAGTTGAAGTGGGACTAGGGCTCGTCCAACCAAATTTGAGACTCGGGGAAAAAACGAATAGGTGGTCCTTATTGTTAGACCCTCGAAAATCCAGATTGTACTTGGAAAATATTCGGCATCATCAATCATACTAAAACATGTCTCCAACGTTTTTTTTAGCTTTTATAATTTTTTGTTGTATATAAATATCAGTTGTTTTATTCTTATCCAATTTTACTCTTAGTTCATTCTATAAATTCATGCAACAAGATGTTGAAAACTATTTTCATGTTCTTCTACCAAAAATATGTTTCCAGTCATTTACAAGTACAACATTAACAATATATTATATCTATTTGTTTTGAATAAACTATTTTCAATTATTTTATCGGCAATATTTCAACCAAAAATCCCTTAATTAATTTATGTCAAGGTTATCCCAAAAACTATTTTTAGAATCATAAACATCTAAGGGGGAAATAAATTGATCACAGTTCCCATTTTTGACATTAACAATCATATTCCGCTCATTATTATTCTCATCTCACAATTATCCTTTCCATTATCATTTTCACTGGTAACACGATTATTTTCATTGGAGAACAATGAAAAAGCCGTTCCAAAAAAAGAAACAATGAAAAAAATAAAACTTTTTAGGTTAAACGTAATTCAGAAACGGTCAGAAAAAAAAAAAGATTCAAACATTCACAAATTCAGAGTCAACACCGAATAATAATCAAACAGTAAAACAGAAACAATCGAAGTATTCACAAAACATAAAATATTTGAACTTTTAAGTCTTTGAAGAAAGTAATTAAATTTTATTATTTGAATAATTGATAATCAAACATTTAAAGAAAACAGAAATAAGCAAATAGAATTACATAAAACCACACTAGATATCCAAAAATGGGAATCGTGATTTACTAATTTGAAGATCATTATTAAACAAGTAGATTGATATATTGGAAATTCCGAGAAGTTGGTGATATCCAAATTCAAACATGCATTCACATAACATAAATCATAAGTGAATAGTTGATATTCAATAATCATTGATAAAAAAGAATTCAAACATTCATACTCAAACAAACCATTGTATCCCTAGATCATGATTGACTATTTGATATTTGATGATCAATCATCAAAAAAAAAAAAAAAATCATTAACCGAGCTTTTAAAGAAGAAAGAAGCACATACAAACTTACCTGAATTCTTGTTTGCGAAATTGCAAGAACTAGAGATTTCAGAGACTCATAGTCATTATTTCCTGACTCTTCTTAGAAAATATTAAGTATGAGATGAGATGTGAGAGGCAGTTGTGTGAGAAACAAACAAACATAACTGAGAAATTGAGGAAAAAGTCCAAAGAATCGGAATACTTGTTTTCTCCAAAAAAAAAAAAAAATAAATAAAAATTCCTCCGATTATATTTACTTTCCTTCTTAGTTCCTATCGCTAGCGCTCCCAAACGTAGTTAGTATTTACCAAAGTTCCTCCAATTGTATTAAAATATTAACAATTGAATTGGTGCATTGTATTTTTAAATTTAATACAAATTATTCGATCCGGTTCTATACGGTGAGATCTTTTGAATACTATAAATTATTAAAATTGACATATAAAACTTAGCTTATAAATATAAATTATTAAAAGTTGATATAAATTTTAACTTTATTTATAAATTTATATATAAAAATATAATAAATATATAAAATAAACTTAATATAAAAAAAAATACAATACATTCTATAAGTTTAAGGGTTAATATTAGAATTTAAAGGGACCATTATTGTATATATTCTTAACATGTGAGTGTCCTGGTGGGGTCACTCCCGGCCCCATTTCTAGAAGAGGAAATATAAACAACCCCAACCCCATAGTTGCAGGTCAATGGAAATATTGATAAAGGCACATGAAATTGGGTATCGTTCAATTGGAGTTCAGGTATGATAATATTTTGAATATAAACTAATGCAGTTCATCGAAAGATAAAGCCATAGGAAAATGGGTATACTTCAGCATTGTTCCTGTTTCCAAAGATACCACTTTTCTTCTTCCAAATTAGCATCTGATTTTTCATATTTTTCTTTGAAAGATAGAATAGTAAACCTCATACAGACATGCCAAAACTTGACCCGCTTTTACCAGATCCAGAGTCGCTTCATAACTTCAGGATTCGTACAAAATCCATCGATGGCTGGCAGATTGTTGAAGCTTTCATTGAATTTCTGTGATATAGATTACACAGTACTGATTTTCAAATGCATTAATTTCCCAGATACATTCTGTGTAAATACTGTTATCAAGGCATATGCTTCCGGTTCTTTGCCCACCAAAGCTGTAGGATTCTATTTTGAAATGCTTGAAGAAGAAGGGGTGTTGTTTAAACCCAATAGTTTTACATTCCCATCTATGATTAGCTCCTGCACAAAAACAAAGGATTCTGTATTGGGTGAAAAATGTCATGGGCAGGCTGTAAAGGTTGGTGTTGACAGAACTTTACACGTAGAGAATGCTTTAATCCACATGTACTCTGGGTGTGGATTAAATAATGTTGCATGGAAGGTGTTCGATGAAATGTCAGTGAGAGACTTGGTGTCCTGGAATTCAATTGTAGATGGGTATGTTAAAGTAAATGATATGGAAGCTGCCCATAAGCTGTTTGATAAAATGCCCGAGAGAAATGTGGTATCTTGGAACGCCATGATGAAGGGTTATTTAGATGTCAAGAACCCTGGCCTTGTGCTAAAGTTGTTCAGGAAAATGGTCACAACAGATGGAAAAGGAAATGACACATCGATTGTGACTGTGCTTACTGCATGTGGCAGATCTTGTAGTTCAAAAGAAGGAAGATCTGTTCATGCTGCTGTTATCCGAATGTTCATGGGTGTAACTTTGATCATTGGAACATCTCTAATCGATATGTATAGTAAATGCGGGAGACCAGATGTAGCTCATGTCATCTTCAACACAATGTTAATCAAAAACATCGTGTGTTGGAATGCAATGATTTCAGGGGAATCCATTCATGGGAAGAACCCAAAACACGCACTCCACCTGTTCGATGAAATGCTAAAACTAGTTGACATAACTCCAGACGAAGTAACATACATCGGTGTGTTATGTGCTTGTGCACGCGAATCCTTGCTGACAGAAGGTCAAAACCACTTTCTTGAAATGACCAAAAAATTCAATATAAAACCTTCTTTCGCACATTATTGGTGCATGGCTAATCTATATGCAAGCCATGGTTTAGTAAAAAAAGCAGTTGAATTCTTAAAAAATATGCCAGTTGATGTGGGGTTGTCACCCCAATCGTCATTATGGGCTGGCTTACTAGGATCATGTCGTTTTAATGGTGACGTGGCAATTGGAGAACAAATTGCAAAAACTTTGATTGAAGATGATCCTTCAAATAATTCGTATCATGGTTTGCTTCTTATAATCTATGCTGTGGCTGGGCGATGGGAAGATGTGACCAAAATGAAGTGTATGATGGAGGAGAGAGGGGTTAGTGTGCCCGGATTTAGTCTTGTAGAATTGACCGAAATAGTTCATAGTCTTAAAGTGGAAGATAATATATCTATGCTCCACAAATATGGATGATACAGTGTGTGCATTGGACTGAGACTGATACTGATATGATACTGATAGGACAAGATAGTTCAGCGTCTGAATGAGATATCAAAAAGATGGAAAAAAATCGGGACTTGTATTCAATCTTTGTGTGTAAAAGACGTGAATGTCCTTCTCATCCTCATCATAAAAATAGTCTGAAAAAGGCGATTGATGTTTTTGCAGTTTGTTTTAGGTATTTTACCCCACCATTGTTTTTTGTCCCCTTTTCTGTAAGTAAAAGATTAAGGAAGTTATAAGGATTTGAATACATTTTAGGAAAAATTTCCCCTTTTTATGCTCAATTTTTTTTTATTGTTGCTGCCCATATAATGATACAATAGTGATACTTTATAGGACCATATATAAATATTCACTCTATGACATGACAAACTAAAACCAATACCATAAGACCCCATAAAAGAGTTACTGTAGCATGCAGTCACCACCATCTTAGTAACAAAAACTCATAAAGTTAGGAAATTTCTGATACATACATCCGTTGTGATTCAACTGAAGATCATTAAACATGAAAACTACATGTCTGATACTTGAAAAAACAGTGATTTTTTTTTTTTTTTTTTTTATTTTAAGTTTTAACAATGTATTTACAACAGTGCTAAAGTAAGATGCTAAAAAAATAAAAAATTATCATTATAATATTTAACAAATAGCAACGAACTTTCAGTTTTTTGCTTTTTCTAGCAATGTACCTTCTGATTTTCACATTTTATAGAAATTTTTTTTTTTTGTCATTTTGGACAATTATGGTTAACCGATAATGAACACCATTAACCGATTAAAACCTTCAACAAAAACCGGTTAATTGATACCCCATGGGCTATGGCTCTATTTAAAAGAATTAAATCTTTATTTCCTTTTATAAATCATGGTATAATATTGTTAAATCATGTTATATTTCTTTCATAGTTAAAAACAACTTGTATTTATAGTTTTTCTAATGATTTTTTATTTATTTTGATTCAAGTAAAATGAAAAAATTCAATTTAAAATATTGTTAAAAGTTTTCTTATAAAGTTTGACTCTTATTATTTCTTTTATTCTTTATTTTAGTCTATTATCAAATTAAAAAATATTATCTTAGATTTAAACTATTGATATCACATATAAAAATATGATTTAATTTGCAAGTTACATTTTAATAAGTTTAGCTAGTTTTACTATTTTAATAATTATAAATAGTAAATATCACTCATTGAATCAAAATAATAATAAAAAAACATAAGTTACCAAAATTAAAAAAAAAAAAAACTCAAACACAAAAAATGTAATATACTCTAATATATTCATATACATTACACTTTTTGAAAAATGTCACAAAAAACGTTATTAAATTAATGAAGAATAAAACGAAAAAAATAAAATAAAACAATACGAAAAACTAAAAAAATACGAAAAAAAATTAAAACAAAGTTTAGTTTTGACTAAAAAAATCAAAAAAATGAAAATAAAGAACTTAATAATAACATAAAACCGAGTTTAGTTTTAACAAAAAGATTTTAAAAAAATAAAATAGTTTACTGTTCGGAGTCTAATTTAGCATGAATAGAAGTCCAGGGTTTAATTTATTTATTTTTAATTATAACTTAACCAGTTTAAGATTTATTAAATTTTGAGGGTAAATTATTATATAAAAATTGTTTCCATAAAGTTTGAATGTTCTAGATTTATGTATTGAAGAACTTTTATAAGTAAGAAGTTCTAATCATTTAAACTTCTCATATTAACTACAAATATAATAAAATTTAAAAAATTTACTGGTATTCTACTATCGTTGATCACTGATGCTATATATATTGGGTTGTGTGGTTACAAAATCCAATTATGCATTAAACTTGTTTGTAGCTAGCTTCTTGCTAGTCTTTGGTGTTGGTTTTAATATAATTATTCTGCTATTGTTGAAAAGTCTTTATGAAAAAAAAAAAAACATAAAAATAATAATAGGTTCATGTGTATATTTGTTAAATCATGACATAGAGTATAGTTGAAATATCAACCAAATGTATATCAAGTTTACCCACGTTTGAAAACATCGAATTGTTGATTTAAATGAATGGGCTATCATCAACTAATGAATAAATTATGAAGTTTAGTTAATTAGTATGTTAAGTTAAGATATTTGTTTGGAGTTATAAGATACGTAGGATATTCTTGAAGTAGATCCATTCGTTATCCTCGACAAACATGTGAGTTCCATGGACTTTGAAATCAAATTTACACTTATTTTCATGAATTATTATGACATTTTACAAGTTGTTTCAAACACGGATCCGGTTCGTATTCCAAATTCAATTTATGTCGGATCATTTATCAGTACAACTATGGTATCACATGATATATACATTGATTTAGTTTTCATTTCATGTCGATGAATGTTTTTTTATGTCTGTATAATATATGTTTTACAGTTTATTATAATATGTTTAAGATGATGATATCACAAAACTTCAGCTGATTAGTACTAGTATTGACTTGTATCTCAGGACAGGATCGTTTGTTTGTGCACATGTATCTGTGAAGACTTTGGAATAGATCAAGAATGAGGCAAAAGAGTATAAAGTTTTTTTTTTAATTGAATGTATCAGGTATGTGGGTCAACAAACAGTCAACTATATGGAAATTTCATAGTCCAAAAAAAAAAAGATAAAAAGATAAAAGTGCTAATTAAGAAGTCATCACTCATCTAAGAGATTAACATTCAAACAATCATGGGGGAAGTACCACATCCCTTGATAACAGAACACGCCTTGTTGACTTTCATCAGTGTCAAGGAAACAACCATTGATCATGGATTGTGTCCAAAGGCCAGCCCATAACACTGGTTTAATAACAAAACAAGACTTCAAGTAGCTATAAAAGATTGCATATTCTTGTATTGTCTTTTCTGGCGACACCCATTTGATTTCCCCAAAATCAAGTTCCATAACCTTTTTAGGTCTTGAAACCCAGTGTATCACATAAAGCTTTTCATTTGAACTCACAAGTCGTGGCTTGTACATGTCAAGCTTCAGAAAACTCTTGGTTTCAAGTGACCTCCATTTGCCCTTACACTTTGAATTCAAATTGAGTCTGAGTTCACCTAAAGAGCAATGGGTGTGTAGAGTATATATCTTCCCTTTAAAAACATGTAAATCAAGAATGGGGAGACTGGAGGAGACATGATTCCATCCCCGTTTACCTGTTATATAATACGATATTTTTGTTTTACGAGCTCTATAACCCGATAATGTTGTACGTAACACAACAAAAACCCACCCAGATATGGAAGGTGAAAAGACAAGGATAGCCTTGATTCTGTCTTCATCAACACCTACATATAAGGGGTAATCAGGGAAATGGAGCTCATGACTTGTGATAGGATTCACAAGCCAGAAGTCGCGGGTTTCTGTACTGAAATAGATCAAGTAGCCACAAGTTAATCCAACACAGGTCCTGCCAGCAGAATGAGGAAGGATGGTTTTGAACCTTTTTCCTTCAAAGTCTTCAAAGCAGCAGAAGGAGCCTTCCTTATTATCAAAGAGCCCAAAGCATATCTTCATGGGTGGTTTAGACACCATAAACATGTTCCTGTTGGATACTGCAAATGACCTCCATGACTTGCAAACTCTGCTGAACGCAAGAAAATCAACAACTCCCAGTTTCATCATAACTATAAAAAGCACATCATGGTTAATTTCTGACCAAGGTGCTACATCACCCTTGTCAAAACTCTTGAGCCTCTTTTTACAAGATGATGATGCATCATCATCATGATTCTGGATTCTAGTCTCACTCCTTGTCTTGGTCATTCCTACACTTGTAAAAAGGAGAGAATCATATGCATAAAATGTAGTAAGAAAAAGTGAAAACACACACTCAAAACTATAACTTTCATGAGAAGAGAAACTCACAAAACAGATCACAACGGTTTATTCTGAAAACTAAATTGCAATTTTACTAACTTTAAAGTGAAATACAAGTTTGATTAACCAAAATAAAGTGATTAGAACACCTTGAATGAATTAAGTTCAAAAACTGATGTCTTGTCCGATTTGGTAAGACCAAATTAGGGCAAAACAGTCTAAGACAGATAGATCAAATTTGTAGAGTGAAATCATATTGTGCATTAGATTTGGTAGCCTGGAATTCAAAGCAAATTAAGGTAAAAGTTTTTAGTTAAGACAACCAAGGAAGAGTTGGGCATAGAGTCATGGACAATAAAAAGTGTGAAATCAAATGGAGAAGATAACTCTAGAAGCAACGAAGAAGCAGTATTTTAAGAAGCGTGGAGGAACATATACCTGCAAGGATAAAGATACTGCGTTGAGCGTGGGATTGTAGGGCGCAGCTGAGAACGGGCGGGCGAGGAGGAAATATAGAGTACGGTGAAACGAGAGATTAGCTAGGTTCAAATATGAACTTAGGAAATTAAAGAAAATTTGAAAATTTGGTCCTTAATGTCGGTTTCTTTAGTTCCAGCCCATTAAACTGTGGTTATGGTTCTTTTAGCCTACTTTTATTCATTATCACACCCCACATGCTCCTCATGTGAGGGTAAAATGTATATTTCCATTTTTATGAAATTAAATCTTTATCATTGTTCTTTTTGCTTTGTTAGACCCATTTACCTCATTGACATTCATTACATGCACAACTCCTTAACCCTTAGCCTTAATTTGTAACTCTTTTTCTCCGGATAAAATCCCTCCTAGTTTTAACCCTTAGCCTTAATTTGTAACTCTTTTTCTCCGGATAAAATCCCTCCTAGTTTGGGTAGCATGAAGTTCAATCTTATTTTTCAAGTCCTTCTTTTCTTTATATTTTTGACAAAGTTATAAATTTTGCTTGTGAATTTGACATAAACTACACCTCCTATCTTTTCCATCCATCGTTATCGATAACTTCTAAGTCTTTAAGTTCATCATCTATCTATTTAAGGACTTAATTCTATCCCTTGTGTTCATCATCCATGTGATTGTTAACACTATAAT